CATTCAGTTCAATTTAGACAAAAAATTATGAAAAAAGTTTCTTAGAATTTTAACAAAGTAGCTTTTATTTTGCCAAATTGCCAAATTGCCAAAAATTGTATATTCTTTAAAGTTTAGATTAAAACAAAATTATTTTTGTTTTAATCTAACTTTAAAGATTATACAATTTTTAAGTTCTGGTCGGCTACATGAGAGGCTCTTTTTTAGCTTTTACCAGGTAGTTGTGGCGTAGTTGCAAAATTTAAGAAAGTTGCAATCTCTAAAATTTTGAGATAAACGTTTCAAATTTATTTTAAATAAAAAATTTGTGTTTTTATGAAGTAATATTTTTTTTCATAAAAACACAATTTTTTTATTTAAAATAAATTTGAAACGTTTATCTCAAAATTTTAGAGATTGCAACTTTCTTAAATTTTGTTGCTTTAAATTAGAGACTCATTTTGATGCAGGTTTGACAGAAATCGAATCGGTATTTCTGGTGAAACTTTTCATAGATTAAAAAAGCCAAAAAAATGTTTTGGGGTAAAAATTTTGCCGCGTACTCGCAAACTATTTGCAATGTAGTAATGCTGTTAAAAGTCTAAGCAAACTTTTTTTTTCATTTTCTTGTCTAAATTCAACTCAAGTTGAGAAAAACGCGTCTATAGGATTTATTGTTTTGTCCGGCTAATTTAAGTCAGCCCTGTTTATCAACTTCCAGTTTAAAAAATCCGCGTTTGAAAAACCATTAGCGAGAGGTCAATTTGACTTAAGCCCAATTTCAAAACATAGTTAGTTCTGGTCAAGAAAAATATTTCAAATCGGCGAAACAAGCATGAACAAAAATTTGTCGACACAGAGTGCGGAACTAAGCTATTTTGACCAAAACTTTGACCAAAAATTTTTTTGCGGGTTGAAAATTCAAAATAACCCAAGCGTTTTTGAACTAGACTGCCAAAGCATTCAATAAGTTTTGCTGGAAAAACTGAGCGTTTCTTGAGAGTCTAGACCTGAGTTGAACGGGTAGGGTAGTCTGTTGTATGTCGTGTGATTCGACTAAACCTACCAAGTTTGGGATAGGGCTCATATCAAACGAAACCCGTGCAACCCGTTCGGAGTTTCATTTATCTTTGTCGCTTCACGCTTTATATCTTTTTATTGAATATGACATTACGAGGCCAACCTGTGCACTGGATAGGTGCACAATTTTTTGTCTGTATGTTGCTAGATTCGAGAGACAAATCTTTAATGAAAGATTAAAAGAAGCTCAAAAGGAGTGTCCTTGTCGCGGAATCCGCTTACATTTCCTAAAATATACAATTTAGCCTCGTAATAGACTTCAAAATCTTTATTACTAACCAATCATATTCACCAACTCAATTTTGAGCCCTGGAATTGCAAACCCTGAGTATATCTGTTCGAACCAAATTGTTTCCAAATTAAAAATACCCAGTATTTCATTAGGATCTATTGAAACCTGCAAAAACAGAGTAATATTAAGATCGGTAACAGACTATGGAGCTGCACGCAACGATTCGGCCGAAAATAAGATAGCGCGACAAAAAGACGGAGCTGCGCCTAATCTGGATAAACTCTATGAATTGTCCCTCCGATGAAATCAACTGTTAGGTTGAGACCGCGCGTTGATCGAATGTAGCTTTTTCAAAGTCAAAACAAGCACTTATCTGAATCATCCAATTTTTTATGGAATGAAAAACGGACCTTACTTTGATACTAAGTTAGATAATGATGCGTTCTGGAAAAAATCGATGAAGCTAATCATTTTGTGAAATAAAGTGTAGAATATACAGATCTGACAACCCGCTGTTTGATTTTGGATATTTTAAGCTTTCCGTAGATGATGGGACTCAGAACCAAATATAATCAACATCCAAAAGCGTTTGTAGGGGGGGGGGGGGGGGGGAGAATATTAACTTAATTCTGGTTGGTGCTGTTATATGACTTACGAATCGTCTATACTTGAAGATTCATCTATGACATAGACTATATTTTGAGGTACTTTGCTGCAACTGACGAAACATTTCACATTCGCATTACTCGATCCTGATTTTTCAAACTCGTCCGCCATTGGTTTAAAATAGGTATCTTTGTAGCTTCCATCTGCAATATCAGCGGCAGAAATCCACCAATCAGCCTGTTCGTCTGTTTTTCCCTGAACTGGAATTTCGCCACTTTTTCCTAGCACCAATAAAGCAGCGCATACCAAACTATTCATTGGAATATCCATATCATCAAGAGTTACATTGGACATATCAACACATAGTTTATCTTGAATTTCCTGTGCTTTGTTTTGACTGTTCATTATTCCGATTGCCTTCTTCAAATTGGCATCAGTTGTTTGCCATATTCCTTTGGCTCCCGAGATGACATCTTTTGTGCCAAAGTCGCTAACGCCACTGAGAGTTGCATAGAGAAAGTGGTCGTCCTTAGGAAATACTCCCGATAGTCTCATTGTGTCGATTGTGCTTTTAGCAGCAGAGCATCCTGTTGCCCCTTTTGTGAGTCGCTCATCGCCTCTGACCACAAAATACAACAGAAGAAAGTATTTGATTAGTAAGTGTTTCATCATTGTCATTCTAATCGTTTGCCAACTTGATTGTACTCAAAGTTCATGCGCGAAATCTGTTTGAAAAAAAATCATAAGATATTTCATAAAATTTACATTAGTTTCCGTGTTTTCCGATTACAATAGTTTTTGATTCAGCTCTCTATGTTAAGTTTTAAGAAACGTGATCACAGATACAATTATTTATTGTTACGTTATGTTTTTTCTTCATGTCTCACTGTAACTGAAGGTCGATAATGCGAAACAAAGTTTTAATGGCTTAGTTTTCTAAAACCTGAAAATACTTGATTTTATCATCAGCATTTTTTAGAATTACCTTTCAGTGCGAACTGTAAAAATAAAAATTTGTTATTCGAATAGAATATTTATATAAAAGCTTCGGTAAGAATTGACAAATTTTTGCCAATTAATTTATTTCTATCATATCATGTTTGTAAAATCGTTGTATTCTATATTTCTGTTTTTTGTCGACCTATAGAGCAATCAATACAACTAGTCAAAACTGATTTATTACAAACCGGGTTGAGCTCTCAGTTGTAAATATCGACGAAAAATTGCAAACCCATTCTAAGCAAGATTTTTATGGTTTTTTCTGTGCTATTTCATAGCTAAATTAATTAGCTCCTTTTCATCGAAAAACTCTGATAAATTAGCGATCAGTTAATTAGCGATCAGTTAGTTAGTGATTAATTAGCTCTGATAAATTAGATAAAACTGCGTTGAATTAGCTCAATGTGAGCTCAACCCGGGAAGCTTTGAATACTCTCGGAGAACTCAAATAAATACAAATTTGCTAGCAATTTAAGTTTTTTTTGATGTTTCAAATCTCAATTTATCACAAAATCAACAGAGCCAGGAGCGGAATTTTTTTTGGGGAGGGGGAGGGGGGAGAGGGAAATTATATTCCTCAAAAGGTAATTAAAGCAATCAAATTTATGCGAAATTCATGGAAAAGCGCAAAAAATGAATCACCAAATGAATCACAATCATTTTTTTATGCTCTAAATAAATTAGCGCACAAAATTAATCAACAGGAGCTTCCGTTAGAGGATAAGTTCGATCATTCAACCAAACAAGAACTGATTGTTGAGACTTATTTCCTTTAAAATGAATATTCAAAATTACCTGTCAATTGTTTACTCCTTGATAGAACTTGTGGATAAAATTTCCGAAGAATTTACAATCATCTGATCGAAGGATAAGAATTGTAATTTTATTAATTTATAATTTTTGGTGAAAACTACTCTTAAATAATCACTTAGTAAAACCGCTGGGACTTTCATTAGAACGAATGACTTCTGACTTTGTATGAGAAATGTGCATCGGTTTATTTTGCTGGTAAGCCAGATCATCTGAACTGGCGTAAGTGTGATACATAACGTACTGTAATAAATAGCCTCGTTTTTTTTTCGTTTGATGGCAAACTAGTTTTCTATGTGATATCACGTGCGGCTAAATTACAAGTTATCGAAACTGCTCATATTCAGGAAAACACCTGAGCGTTTCGACTGCCGTTAACCGCATCTCAATTAGTTTTTGCTCCGAGAAATAGTATCCCGAGTTGAAGTCCCACCGTTAATTATCGATTTTTCTGTAGTATCCCAGTGATCGCTATTTTCCGCGCTGATTCATGTATAGTTCAGAGTTTGCTGCATAGATAAACCTGCGACTTTTCAGAGCTATTTCAGTAATGATTCCGTAGAAAGTCATCGCTAAAACTTAAGAAATTTTAACTCATTCTAATAGCTTTCAAAAGAGAGTTTTAGTTGATAAACCCTTTAACTTCATATTCAGTAAGGTTTGCTAGCGCAGAGGTTGAATGTATGTCTACAAAGCTGTAGGTTAGGGGAACTAACCCCTGTTAGAACGCAATTTTTGCTCAAGCTGATAGCTTTTTTATTGCTGTTTCATTGCTAAAAATAAGCCAAATTAGCGATAATTAGCAATAAAATTTGCTATTGTGGAAATGAATGTCGATAATGCATCGATGGGGATCGCTGTTTTTTTTACTTTTTCATCGCTAATTTTCAATGTGAGCTCAACCCGGGATAACAAGTCAAAAAACTATGCAGCAAACAATACAGACTATTAAGTGATAATTTTGTTCCTAACTAGGGTTGTGCGGGTTTACTTACTAGTAAGTAAGTTACTAGTAAAAATACTAGTAACTAACTAGTAAGTAAAATAGGGCTTATTACTAGTAAGTAAGTCAAACCAAAAAGAAATTTAGGAAAGAACTGAGGCTCAAGTATATTCAGCGTGAGTTTTCACAACTCAAGAAAATTGCCTAACGCGCGTGACCAATCAGTCTGCAAACTGTATGTAAATGCAACGCGATCAATAACAAAGGCTGCGCTGATTGGCTGATGCAGTCCACTTTCGCATTTAATTTCACGCGCTTATCCGTTTCAGTTAATTTTGTTTACACTTTCTCATTGAAATGAAGTACGAAATCACATCATATCTCAGAGATAAAACCACAGATGGTTACGGCTACTGCAAGACATGTGGGCAACGGATTTTTTGGGGCCGACAGAAGCTCGAAAGTCACAAAAGCGGGGGCAAATGCAATGACCAGAATTCTGCCGAGAAACAGATGTTCACCGAATTGAAAATGGTATCAGTATCGCGCTCTACGCCGTCTCCACATATTATGGCAACTGAAACGCTGGCAGTACAAAAATTTATCAAAATTAATAACCAACCTACAAGTGAGCGCAGAATAGAGCAATGGATCGACAAACTTTGTCTGAACAAAAAAGATAAATGCGACAAAGCATTAGCTTATTTTTTCTACAGAACTGGCGTGTTTTTTTCGCATTATTGACAGCTCATCGTTCCGGAAGTTTATAAAGACTCTCCGCCCAAGTTATGAAGCGGTCATGCCGACCCGGAGAGCGCTCAGTGAGGGTTTATTAGAATCTACTTATCTAACAATTAAAAAAACAGTTGACGATTTTTTGTCTGGTTGTAAATATTGCTCAGTTATCACAGATGGTTGGTCCAACATCAAACCTTGCAGAGGAAATCATCAAAGTTGTCGAAGAGATTGGTTCAGCGAAACTTCTGTCCGTCATAAACGACAATGCACTGTGCATGTTACGCGCAGTTGGTCTGATTGAGGCGCGTTACCCAACTGTTTTCTGCAATGGATGCTCAGCGCATGTTATGAACTTGGCGGTGAAAGATATTTGTGAAAGATCAGAAAACGAGAAACTTTTCATAAAATGTGTTTTTGCAGTAAAATTCAGTAAAGAGCGTCATAGAGTTTGGGCGCAATTTAGAGAACTGCAAGATAAACTGCGCGTTTCGAAACAACTCAGTCTTCCTTGTGCGACAAAATGGTATTCGAACTATGGTTGTCTCAGTTCTCTGAGCATTAACAAGTCTATAATTTCTTTGTTGGCAATTGATAAAGTTGCGGATGATGCAAAACCCACTCCGAAACGAGACGAGTTCATCAGCTATGTCAGCGACAAACTTTTCTGGGAGAAAATTCAAAGTCTGAAAGCAAAACTGAAGAAACCTAGCGAGATGATTGGTCTCTTCGAGTGTGACACGACTGACTTATCTTCTGTCGATTCTACTTTTTATGATTTTTTCCAATCATATCGAACTCTTGCTAGCCCTGATAATGAAGAAGTTCCATATAGAACCATAGTGGAAAAAAGGTTCCTTTTGCATACATCCCTTTTGCAATGAACCTTTTGCATACGTCATGGATGGGCTTTGCGCATATTTTGAGTCCGAAAAACTGCAATTTTGACGAAAATATGGTAGGAACTGATCGTGTAGACACAATGTTTAAGCTTCGAGCTTATGTTTCAAAATATTTCGAGCAACTAAAAGAAGTTGAAGATTGCAACAACCAGATTACAGGTTTTCTCGCTTTTTTTGCTCTGATGACCGATAATCGAAAATTTGAGTAATTATCAATGAAACCATTTCATTTTTGGGCTGATTACGGCAAACATTTATTTCCTTTTTTGTCGAAAGTTGCCCTGAGGGTGCTCAGTATTCCTACGTCGAGTGCGGCTAGCAAACGAGTCTGGAGTATTTTCGCTTTCAATCATTCAAAAAATCGTAATCGACTTTCAGTCGAAAGAGCAGATAAACTTGTTTTTATGGACTGCAACGCTGTTTTACTTGATAATACTGATCATAATGATTTTTCGCGGATTTTGAGTTTGTGTAAAATAAATAGTCTTCAAACTTTGCTGTTTTCGAGCAGACCTTGAGTTTTTGAAACTTACTAGTAAGTAGAAGTAACTTACTAGTAAAAAAGTGGTAACTTACTAGTAAGTTACCAGTAAACGAATTCTATTTACTAGTAGTTGCACAACCCTATTCCTAACACAAATTTTTGAACAGTTCGCATCCCATAATTCAATTTGCGAAAATTTTTGAGACAGTTTCATTCACAGTATCGCATTTATATCGCCCGAGTCGAGGTGCTCGATTTACGTTTTGACTTTTTCGACCAAAATTCCGTATGGTTCGACTGTCTCGACCCAAATTGGTTTGTTTTGACTTTCTCGACGAACAAAACTTTCAATATTTATTTATTCCAGCAAAGATTTGTTTCAAGCGGAGTGACTAACTCTGTGATGTGCAATGGTTATGTGAACTCTTGACATCATAAACATGTGAGCTTTACTTTTTGCTGAATCTCTTATCAATTAAACTTTTGTCTGGTTGAAGAAAAACTACCCGATAACAAGGACTAATCACTTTTTCGAAAAACAGAACAGCACGGCTCTTTGTATCAAGAAGAAGCCCTGAGAAAGACCATTAGTAAAAGACCCTAATAGACTATCACTTAATTACCGCTCAAGAAAAAATTGTGGTCAACCTCGAAACAAAAACAAGAAAAATAAAGAAATAATAAACACTTTTTTATTAAGGAAAATCATCCCGCTACAGGCAAAACAAATTACAAAAAGATGATTTTGAGCGTCTAATAGCCTCATAATGACCGCCTAGCAGAACTATGTTTTGACTTCTCGAAC